ACTGTGATTAGCCATGGTTTATTTCATCACCAGGGATGTCGCGGTAGTGACTGACCTGTGGTGTTTGGCTCAAGATTTTGGGTTCCGTCGCGCCTCGAATGGGCGTCGCCGAACCCCTGCGTCGACCGACGGCATCTCGGGGGAGAAAGAGACCTCGGGCCGCCGCCAGGTTGGTAGGGACCAGTCGTGCGGCCTGTTGTCGACCAAGGTTGCGGGTTAACCCTTTTCTTGTTTGGTTTGTTTTCCTTTGGTTGTTGTTCTCTGGTGTGTGGGAAACCCTGATCTTTGGGACCGGGGATTGGTTTGCTTTTGGGGAACCTTTCTTTTGTGGCTTGTTTACCCCAACTTACCCATTGCCTGGGCACAGGCTCGTGCCCGAATCACAGGTTATCAGCCGTAGGACTTTCCTACGCGCTTGAGACCATCAACTACAAGCTCAATGACGTCGACCCCACGTTCGCACAGGAGCGTCGTGGATGAGGAGGCCATCCTAGGTGGCCTCCGCTCAAGTGAGGACCTACCGGACTATGACTACGAGGAATTCGAGACAGGTTCAGCAGGTCAGGACCGCAGGGGTGATGATCCCGGTAGGGACACACCCAGAAGCCGTGGCAGGTACACTGACGATGGAGACGACCGCATTTTCCGTCAGGCCACCGATGATGAACAAGGACGAGGAGCTCGCTCCGGTAGGAGCGGCTCCGAATCAGGTTTCGGACAAGGTCATTTGGACTTCATCAGCGTGGCGATGAACATGGCTCGTCCTCACACGGACGATCAGGAGGCTCTGCCTAATCGACCCCCTAGGTCTCTTTTTCCAGGTGAAACGCCTCGGATCAGGTTGAGGACAGACCGTTAGGTCCGGGAACCATGGTTTTGGCTCCGAGAGATATCTCGGGTCGATCAACAGGTTCTCAAAATCCAGGTCAGTTTGATGAGCAAGAGGAGAGGGCGTTTGCGGGCATCGGATACGATGCCCTGCTGGCGTCGACCGCAGGTTGGGGCAGTAGCGTGAAGCAAGAGTCTGATACTAATAGGCCCAACCCGGTTTCGACGACCAATTTTGAGTTCAATGATGATGAAGATTATGCCGCATTTGCGGATCGTCGTGAAGAGGAAGAAAGTTTGTCGTATCGGAGTGCAAGGAGCCGTGCTGCTGCGAAGGCTAGGAGTCTCTCTCGTGGAGCTGCTAGGGACCTTCGTGTGGACACGGATACTCGGAGTGCAAGAGAGCGGATCGGGGACAGTCGGGGCACCCTTAGGGGTTTGGAGGCCATCCATGACGGAAGAGGACCGGTAGGTCCTCCCGTCATTGATCCCGTCCCAAATGTTCCCCCTTTTCCCAACATCCAGTTTGGAGGACCGCTGCATCAGAGAGTCGGGGATATGAACCGGGGTACTGGTTCATCCAGGATTACTCAGCGAGCCGCCGATGTGGTTGAGGCAGGCGCGAGGGACGGAAGACTTGCTAGTGCGCTTGGAATCGAGGATCGTCCGCCGATCGCTAGCCCGTTAGGGCGGGATCTCAGCGACCTCGAGCCACTAAGGTCTAGCAATGAGTTCACTCCCCAATGGGGATCAGCAAGCAGGGAACGAAGTGCCTCTGCGAAGAGGCCGTCATCCGTAGCCGGAGGGACCGATAGGCTAGCCCTGGACCGATAGGTTCAACGCCGCAGGATGAAGACATGTTTGATCCTGCTGATGTTCATATTCATTCCACTCCTGAATCTCATGGGTCGAATGTCAATCCCAGATCCGGCGATAGCCGGGGAAGGGGTATCAGTCCAATCAGGCCGCCCAGGATCGCTGATGCTCCTGTTTCCGACCCCAGGGGACGTAACAGAGTTGAAAGGGTTCCTGAGAGGATCGAGATATCGACTCATTTTGCCATTCCTTTTGCATGGAACTCACCTGACCGTTCAGTAACCTGATCTGATTAGCAAAAGCATTGAGAGTGTTTGCAACGGAACCGGATGCCTCGCCTCGTTCAAACAGCTCCTGGATATGCAGGTCAAATACTTCCTTGACCCTAGCATCTCCAGATTCAGCAGAAGAATGGGATCTCAGAGCTGGAGGAGAATCGGCTCATGAAGGACAAGGTCGGCCGTCTAGCTACCGAGGTTGCGACCCAAGCGGATGCTGATCGTATGCGAATGATTGTTCAACGGTTTGCCGGTGAGGTCATTCCCGATAGCAGGGCCATTGTCAGGCAGGCTATCGATGAGCAAAGTGAGGTTGTGGATCAGAGGATCAACTCGTTATCCGACGAGGTTCGGGAATCCGTTAGGGACCTCGAAGGCGGTATGAGTCAACTTCAAAAGCTCGTTGAGGACAAGCAGTATGCTATGTTCAAGAGCCAAGGTGCCTTTCAGGATGAGATCTACACTGAGATCGGGAATTTCGAGAAGCAGCTCCATTCGGTTGAGAAGGCCGTTAGGCTGCTCTCATCCTCGGGTGTTCCCGCTGCATCAGGGCCCGATAGGGCTGCTAGCAGTGGAGATGACGCAAGCTTTCGGGACTTGGTCGCAAGAGTCGATAGACTCCAAGGTGAGAGCGATCGGCATGGGGAATGGGCCACTTCGGCCATTGACGAGCTCCGCGCTGAGTATAGGTCCTTTGCGGACCGAATGCTGGAGTCCCGGAGTGACGGGGGATCTCTTCTGGCCGATAGGCCTAGGGATCTGGAATCACCTCAGGATTGGCGCGGGGCAGTCGAGGAGATCAATCGGAAGATTCAAGATCTCGCGAACAGAGTCCGTCGTCAAGCTCGGAATTATGACACCGTCGTCGAGGATGTTAGGGCTGTGAATGGCCAAATTGTAGTGTTCAATGCGAACACGCAGAGACTCCAGCAGGCTATGGAGGAGATAAGGACAAGATTGGTTGATCTACCTTCGACCACGGATGAGATGCAGGCCGTCGGTAGACGGGAGCTCGTCTACTATCGTAACATGTTAGATGCGTGTATGCGAAGGCTTGGGGCTACCGAGAACAACATCCGAACTCTGAACGAGATGAACACTCGAGTTATGTCTCAGTTTGCCGATCTCGAGGGGAGTATCGAAGATGCTGCTGGCTTGGTCCAACTTCCTAAAGGGCCAAGAGGCTCCGTTTTCAAGCCTTCGGAGCTTTGTCGGACATGAAGGCTTCAAAAAGAAGCACACGCGGTTTGTCGTACATCCGCGTAAACTTGGGAAGCGCCCAAACGTCATCCCGCGCCGGGCGCGCCGGTTTGGCCACACACGCGCGCCAGGCGCGCGCGCTTGAGCCAGATAGTGGAAACTTGGTGGCACTCGTAGCACGCGCCACGTAGGCGTAGTGTACAGGGGCGCGCGCCCGGCGCGCACGCAGACGCGTCGGGGCGCGCTCTCAGCGCGCGCCGGGCGCGCGCAAACGTGACTCGAGCCAAAAAGAGCGAGGAAAAATCAACAACTCAACGCAAATTCTGAAAAGCTTCCCCCCTCCCCCCCCCCCTCCCCGCCCCCTGCCCCCCCCTAAAAAAATGGTTATAAGGTTGGTTCTAGGGTAGGGAATTTTCAGTTCAGGGTTTCAGGGTTCAACACTACTTTTAAACAAGCAAACCATTTTGTTCAAAACCTAAAGGTTGATTGTGGGGAATTTTCCTAAATTTTCTCAACATTTTTTTGCAATTTTTTCATTATGAAACAGTCTAAGATATTGACATTTTCAAGTCTCTGTCATTGCCTATTGTTATGGTTTAGGGTTGGGTTTCCTCCGTCGTGCCCCGCCGGCTTCGTCTTCTTCTTCTACATCTTCAATCAGCGTGGATGCCCAGCAGTCATCAGGGGTCGTGTCAACTGTTTCTATCAAGTGATGTCATTGTCTGACAGCGCCTTTCAAATGACAACTCTTTGTTCAAGCTGCTCACAGTGCCCAAGCGAGTTCTCACCTGACCCCTGCATCTATCATAATGGCTTCCAAGCAGGGATATGATGTCCCCTCATCATCTGGCGCTGGTGACGCTCCTGCTTCATCCACTCAGAGCGTCATCACGATGCCAGTGGCCTTGGACTACATCTACAACCACTATGGTGAGATGTCCTCTGATGACATTAAGAAGCTGTCCATGTTGCTGAAAGATGAGAAGAAGAAGAACACAACTCAGAACCTTGAGGTGCGCAGAGAAACCAACAAGGTAGAGCGAGAGCAACGCATCTCGTTGTCAATCACCACGAACCTCTACAAGGGCAAAGCTTTCGAGCCGCAGCACCAGGTGAAGGCCAACATCACAGTCCCCCGCAACAAGACGGTCGCCTTCGTGGTCGATGAGACATTCAGGGCAATCAACAAGAGCCGCCCTAAGGGTTCAGAAAAGCTCAGTGTGAAATACTTGGGTGAGGAGATATATGACTATGGAGAGGGGAAGCGTGGTCTTAAACGACTCAACACGCTTGGAATCCAGGACAAGGATACTCTGGTGCTCAACATCAAGGGCTTTGGTCCTCCTCAACCTGTTCAAGAAACCGAGGTCAAGTCCGATGCCAAGGACAAGTCCGATGCCAAGTCCGATGCCAAGGACAAGTCCGATGCCAAGTCCGATGCCGATGCCAAGTCCGATGCCGAGGACAAGTCCGATGCCGAGGACAAGTCCGATGCCAAGGACAAGTCCGATGCCGAGGACAAGTCCGATGCCAAGGACAAGTCCGATGCCGAGGACACTTCTTCGTCCGATGTGAGCATGCCTGTCAACTAGTTGTTGTCCTGTATTGCTTCACAAGTCCAGTGAAAAAAACACTTCACCAACATGTGTCATATCTACACAATTCACAGCTGTTTGAGTTGAAGTTTGGACTGAAGCAAGGCATGGGTTCTCTGACCATCGCTGACATCTATCCGTCGGATTGAGAAAGGGGTTAGTGCTTTGAAGCATTGTTTCATGTCAAGTGAAGACATTGAGCCAAGCGATGCCTTTGTGCTACATTTATCAGTTTGAACATTGACTCCAACTGTCCGCAGGCGTTTGTGCTGAGCATTTTTGGTTTCCATCTGTGTGCATCATCTCTTGTAGCAATGGGTGGAAAGGTGAAGAAGGACTTGCTAAAGATTAAGAAGAAGCAGCCGATGCCATCAAAACAGGATTTTGACCCTGCACAATCTTCATCTTCAAAGATGGCAAAGGGTGAGCAGTTTGTCCAGACCTTTGACCAAATCCTTGCCGACATCTCCAACGAGAAGCTTGACGAGTTGAGCGACTACGCCCACAAAGACAAGACTAACAGCCTGAAAAAACTCCCACGATTTGCTCACTTCACAAAGACCATCAACAATATGGTTAAGGTGAAGGAGTTTTTGGAGGAGCAAATCAAATATGCAGAGGACGCTTTGTCCGATGTCATAGTGGAGCAGTGCTGCAGAGATGATGACACCTTTGACTGGGAACAGGTGAAATCCATAATTGACAAGACCGTTGGTGCTAGACAAAGTCAATCGCAGCGAACAGATGTTGTCATGAAACCAGCGGCCTAATTAGATTTAAATCACAGTTGTTTAATCACAAGTTGTTTAATGTCAATGAAAAGACCCTCTGAAATCTGAGGGCAACGGGGAATACATTCATCAACATTTGATGTGTCAATCACATACCTATCGGGGTCAGAAAAAAAGGCTGTCTCACGTGGCTCGCTTGCTGGGCTTAGGCATGCTCAGAAATCCCATATGCTCCCTACAGCATCCCAAAACACTATGCTAAAAGAGCATACCCTGATGCTCTCGGAGCATCACAAAAGCTAATCCCCACCTAATTTAGGGCGTTTTTGTATGCTCTCGGAGCATCCTCCTATGCTCCCCAAAAAGGTATGCTCCTGACAGCATCTCCCCAAGAGCATAGTTTTAGAGCATATGAGGGTTCAAAATAGGGTCAAATGAGCCACTGCAAGGGTTCAAATCCTGCCCCTACATCTGTCCTTTTTAGTTTGTTCAGTTTCTTTGCTCCCCCACTCTGAGGCCGAGAAGACATCCACTTCACCATCTACAAGACTGTCCTTTTCAAGGTGTCGGCGGCTTCCCCCTGACTGCTTTTTTCGGGCGAACCACCTAAATATATTTTGGGTTTTCCCACCTAAAATATTTGTTTGGGGATGCCCACCTAAATATTTGTTTGGGGATGCCCACCTAAATATTAATTTTTGGGGACTGACCACCTAAATATTTAGGGGTATATATAATATATACATCAAAGTTCCAGTTTCAGATGTTGTATTGAAACTGGAACTTTGGTGAGATACATATTCAACGACAGTTTCAAACTCATCCCCAAACCCATTTGTTTTTCAATGTTGAACCCAACCCCAATCCCATAACCACCAAACACAAACAAAAATACTTAAAGAGAAAATACCTTATATAGTATAGATAAAATGGCAGGGGAATACGAAGCAGGTTATGTTATAGATTATCTTTTATCAAGTAAAGAAGCATCCATAAAAACAGGGAAGAATAACAAACCATTGAAAAAACTAATCATCAACAACAAAGAATACTATTACAACAAAGACAAACCATTATCCTCATCACTTCAAAACAAACTCAATCAAGTCAGCAACGCACAAGGTTTCAAACGATTTCATCTTCTAAAAAAAGCATCAAACACAATGAGAGGCATTAAAACAATCCAGAAATACAGATTCAAAATAGGAGCAAAAACATCAGATACATTTTCGGCATTGAAAGGAGATGCCAACACATATGCAATATCCAACATACCATTCAAGGGATACAAAGGATTAACATATCTTTTATGGCAAGAAAAGAAACTAACAGAGTTTTTACAACAAGCAAAGTCAATGAAACTACTGATTGATGTTGAGGTTATTTTTGATAAACTTAGACAGCGAGAAGAGGATGATGGAGAAGACGAACCAACTGAGGAAAATATACAAATAAAACACAATATGAGAAGCAGGAGATATAACATTCTAAATGTAGGAGACTTGAAAAAAGCATTGGAAAATATACCTAAAGATATTGAACTACAAATTGAAAACTCACCTTTGAAACATTCAGGATTGAAGATTAATAAGATTAACAAAATCACCATCCACTACGATAAATACAATCCGAACAGAGCAGGTAAATATATGGAACTACCAGAATGGATTTCAAAGAAAAAAGCATGTATCAACATTCAAAATGATGATGAATTATGTTTTAAATATTGTGTTTTATGTAAATTTTATGAAGTCTTCAAGAAAGACCATCCACAACATATGAGACACTACAAGAAATTAATAACTACTGAAAGTCTAATTAAATGGGATGGTGTTTTCCAGCATCCAACGATGACATTGACACATTTGAAACAATTAACCAAAATTCTATATCAGTTAATGTTTATGTTGAAGATGAGAACCAAACCATCAGAGCAGACAGAATAACGAAGATTGAAAGACCATCTTGTCATATCAATCTATTACGAATTGAAAAAGATGATAATGAACATTATGTTTTAATAAAAGATTTTAGTAGATTAGCAGGAAGACAAACAAACAAAACAACTAATAAAATGTTTTTTGTAGTTTTTGTCAGCACGGTTTCAAGTCAGAAAAACTTTTAAATTCTCACTTAATAAAAGGTTGTATGGCAAATGACATTCAACAAACAAAAATGCCAGAAGAAGGAACATCAATGAAGTTTGAAAAGCATTTTAAGAAACTGAAAGCACCATTTGTTATTTACGGTGATTTTGAATGTTTAACAACAGAAACATCAGATGGAATAAAGGGAACCTACGGCGAAGCCCTAGGTTGCGCGCCTCGCGGAACCTACCAAAATCATAAACCCAGCGGTTATATGCTTAACCTTGTTAATGCTTACAGTGGAGAAATGAAACCATTTTTATATAGAGGTGATGATTGTATGGATAAATTTTGTGATACATTAAACAAAATTAGAGACGATGTAATGAAACAAATGAAAAATCCAAAAGATATGATTATGTCAGATTTAGATGAAATTAAACATTTAGAAGCTAAAAAGTGTTTCTTATGCAATGGCACTTTTGACAACAGAGTAGAAGCGAAAAAGAAAGTTGCTGACCATTGCCACTTCACAGGATTATACAGAGGCGCGGCACATATGAAATGCAATATAGACTATTGCTTTAAAAAGTATCATATACCAGTATTCTTTCATAATCTTAAAAACTATGATGCTCATGAGCATCATAATATCAAATCTTGAAAAGTTAAACACAAAGAAAGAACAAATATCAGTAATAGCACAGAACAGTGAGAAGTTTATTACATTTTCATTAAACAGACTTGAATTTAAGGATAGTTTCAGTTTCTTGTCATCATCATTAGATAAACTTGTTAAATTAACAAAATATGAAGATAATAAATTAAGGGACAACTGGCAGGAACATTTTAAATATAGTGTCAAAGGCAAATACATTAAAAACGAAAAAGATTTATTTTTACTGACAGAAAAGGGAGTTTATCCTTATGATTATTGTAATGACTTCAATAAATTTAATGACACTGAACTACCAGAAAAGAAACATTTTTATAGTAGATTAAGTGAAGAAGATATAAGCGATGCTGACTATGAAAGAGCAAAACTAATATGGAAGCACTTTAACATCAAAAACCTTGGTGAATATCACGATTTATATTTAGAAACCGATGTATTATTATTAACCGATGTATATGAGAATTTCAGAAAACAATGTCTAACAGATTATGAATTAGACCCAGCTCATTATTACTCATTGCCTAACTTTGCTTGGGACGCGATGCTATTAAAAGCAGGAATTGAACTTGAACTTTTACATGATGAAGAAGTTTATAAAATGATAGAGCAAGGACTAAGAGGCGGTATGTGTCAGGTTTCAATGAGAAAAGCAACTGCTAATAATAAGTATATGGGAGATGCTTATGATGAAACAAAGCCGTCGTCCTATATCAATTATTTAGACGCTAATAATCTTTATGGTCTGGCAATGTGTAAGAAACTACCATATAAGAATATTAAGTTTGTAAAAGATAATTTCTCAGAAGAAGACATTAAATATTACAATAGTGATTACAGTAGCAAAGGATATATTTTAGATGTTGATTTAGAATATCCGAAAGAATGCCACGACAAACATACTGATTACCCATTAGCACCAGAAATTATGAGTGTATCAGCAGATATGCTTAGTGATTATCAGAAAGAAACCTACAAAGCATATCATTTTAATCATGCTCCAAAAGATGAGAAAACAAACAAGTTGATACTAAATGTTATGGATAAACAAAATTATGTTTTACATATTGACATTTTAAAATTCTATTTGAAACAAGGACTTAAAATCAAGAAAATAAACAGAGTAATAGAATTTAGACACAAGCAATGGTTGAAACCGTGGATTGACTTTAACACAGAGAAACGAAAGAACGCTACAAGCGACTTTTCAAAAGATATGTACAAATTAATGAACAACGCTGTATACGGCAAGACTATGGAAAATGTGAGAGAACACATTGACTTTGAGCTGGTTGATACACCTGAACGATACCAAAAATGCGTTAATAATCCAAATTTCAAATACAGGCATATCATCAATGAAAATCTTATAGGAGTTGAAAAAGCAAAAAGTGTAGTTAAATTGAATAAACCAATATATGTAGGAATGAGTATTTTAGATTTATCAAAACAACATATGTATTCATTTTACTATGACATTATGAAGCCGAAATATAAAAATAATATCAGAATGTTATATACTGATACTGACAGTTTTGTATTACATATTAAAACCGAAGATGTATATGATGACTTTAATGACATTAAGGATTATATGGATTTCAGTGGTTATGACCCTAAACACAAATGTTATGATAAAACAAACAAGAAAGTTTTAGGAAAATTCAAGGATGAAGCAGATGGAAAGATTATAACAAACTTTATAGCATTGAAACCTAAATCATACTGTTTCAAGATACATAACGAAGAGAAAGAAGAAAAGAAGAGCAAAGGAATAGTTAAACATAAAGTGAAGAAGGAACTGTCATATAATTCTTATGATGACACACTCAAAAACAATAATTGTGACACTTTAACATTCAACAGCATAAGAAGTAAAGCCCATCAAATATACAGCATCCAACAAACAAAACAATCGCTTAGCGCCTATGAGAATAAACGCCTTTACATAGACAGTATTAATTCATTGCCATACGGACACTACGCTATTACGAAGTAATAGCCTAGTGAGCTTCGCGACACTACAGCATCATAGCATAGAGAATTTACAAATATACTTAAAGAAATAATTATATTATATATTAAGTAAAATGACCTGCTTTATTGTAGATGGCAATAAAAATAAAATTTCTATGACAAATGATGAATTTGATTTGTTGTGGAATTCTATTGAGGGTGAAGTTTCAGACTTCAGCACGGATACAGAGGAAGAAATTAAGAAGGCAAAGGAAAAGGAAAGTAAGAAAAAATATAATGATGTATTAAACAAGAAATATAAAGAAGAAGGATACTTTAAAGAGTATTTTATAGAAAATGATAAGTCATTAGAATGTGAAAGATGCGGTTGTATGATTAAAAATAAGTCTAATATGGCAAAGCATTTAAGGACTGATAAATGTAAAAG